AAAGCCACCAAAGGATGTAAGTTGATAGTTGAATCCTATCTTCAGTTGCTTTAGTGTGATCAAGAGAGCAGATGTCCAACCACCAATATCTGAACTTGTTCCTGCTGCCTTTGATGCCATCCCATCTTACAGGAGAGAGGTCCCATGTTTTGCAGGCTCTAGAGCAGGTTAGAAGGATATGTTCAATGGTTTCAGCTGATTCTCCACAGATGCTGCATATGGCCTCAATGTCAACTTTTTTCTTCCTCAGTAAAACTGCCACAGGTAGTGTATCAGTGATGCATTTCCATAAGAAGTGCTTAATCCTCCCAGCTACCTTGAGTTTCCAATGCCTAAAATGTACAGATTTGGGAATGAGCTGATGTGAACTACTCTCTGGAATATCCAACTGCCTAAGCTTGAGATTGGAGAGGGATTTGTAAGTGCTTGAAACTGAGAATTGACCTTTAGCTTCTAGTCCCCAATGAAATCTGTCCTCTCTGTCTGGATGAAGAGTGGAGATGTTCAAAATTGCAGCACTTTCATTGGGATTAAACACTTGTCTCACTAACCACTCATTCCAGGAATGTCCATTGGTATTTAATAGCTCATGAACCCAGATAAGATGACCTCTGGCTATTGGGATTAAAGCAGGAGAAGTGTGTGGCAATGATGACACCCAGTTAAGATCAGTTATTCTTGTGTTCTTACCATTCCTAATTTCTGTTTTCAGCCATTTAGAGAAGAAGGGTAGAACTTCCAGCCAAGAATTCCACATCCAAGATCCCTTTTGAGTTTTGACAGCTTGAGTGATGGAGCTATCTGGGAAATATCTGTCTTTGAGAATCCTGCTCATCAAAAGATTTGGATTTGTGGCTACTCTCCATAGTTGCTTGCAGATAAGGGCTTGGTTGAAGAGTGGCAGATCTAGAAATCCCAGAAAATCAAATTATAGTTTATTATAATGAATATCAATAAAATTATTGCATATGATAATAAAATTATTCAAGGAAAGAATCTTTTTGATCATATATGATTTGGGAATGTGTATATATTAAAGCAATTAATGCATATATTTAAAAGTTTCCAAATAAAGTATGCATTAAATGCTCATTGACTTTTTTGCTACTATATTTAGTAAATAGTAATTCTTTTTATATATATATATAGATATAGATCTGGAAGTAAAGGCAAGTGTGTCAATTTACAAGGAAAATTATTATTTGTACTTTCACAAAAAATGCAAGTATTTCATTTTATGCATTCCTTGACTTACATAGTAAATTTGGTACACTATATACGGTAAAATAACTTACAACCTATATGTATTTTCACCTGTTATTGAAGCAAAATATGCAACAATGGTGATAACTGGTAAGCATTTTGAACTAATTAATTGAACTTTTTGAATGTGTCTCGTACTTTATAATACGAATTGTGTATTTTTTTTTGTAAATATCTACTATCTTTTTATGTGAGATATACTGACAAATTTAAGTTGTCATTAATCTTTTATAGTTTTAAAAGAAAGATGAAGAAAAAATAAGATTGTGAAAAAAATTATGTCTTATAAACCACGTCTAGAATAAAAATGTAACATAATTAATGCTTTTTAAAAAGGAATATAAATATCTAGTATATTTATGGATATTTAAGTCTAGTATTTTTAGATTGAAAGTAATTAAAATTAGTTAAAGTCAATTGACAAAGCATGAAAATTTATCACATAGGATCTCGAAGCATGCGAATTTGTCGTTTACGCTCAGCACATTCGGGAATCAAATCTATATTTATATAAAAAAGGATCATATTTACTATAAATAGTATCAAAAAAAGTTAACTATAATTAATGCTATTACTATTTCCAGCATGTATTTTATTTAATTATTTTGTATTGAAATTAATGTTATGCGATTCAATTAATGCTATTACTATTCCCATACAATCGGTTTTCCTGCGAAAAAATCACACAAAATCGGCTTTAAATTTTTGTATATTTGAAATTTCCTTCATATCTTCTATTTGTTTTATCCCATACAATCCGTTTAGTCAACAAAATCCCATAAAATCGTTTTCTTTTTGTAGATTGAAATTGAAACTTCCTTCTTATCTTTTTGCCAAAAATTTTATTATTTATGTATTGAAATTCTGTAATCCGATTTCAGATTGTATCATTAAAAATATATTATAGTTATATTATCAAATCATAAAAAGATACTAAATCCATATTGTAAAAAAATAATTCATATAATTTTATAACAATTCTACTACACTATTTAACAGTATTTCTTTTTATTATATAATAAAATAATAATTAAATATTATATAGTGAACAACAATAAGTAAAACTATTACTTTCTTTTATATCAAGGGATAAATTTATATGTTAAAATTAAATTTTTATTAGTATAAATGTTTTAGTGAGATAATATATTAGTTATTTTACAAGCTAGCTCTGACATGCCCATATTTAATGTTCTCATATTTAATGTTTTGACTAAAAAAACAATGCTGGTTAAAAAGATGTGGAAAAAAATTTATAATAACTTGTTTTTTAGACTTAACATTGATTAAAAGATGTAGAAAATTAATAATAACCTTATTATTTATTAGACTTAAACGGACAAATAACTCATTTAATATCTCTGTCATGTGCATCGCACGAAGTACGTACTAGTTGTATATTATATACGGGGGATAATATTTAGGATTGGGAAATTTTATATTCATATATGGAATATTTAATTTATCATTGCACAGTTCATTACAATTATGAAAATAAACTTTATTTAGTATTTACATAATGAAAAAGAGAGTGTGCCATTATCAAATTGTGGTGTACTTTTGTGGTATTCTGATTCAATTATTCATTGTATTGCACTTATGGTATTCTGATGTAATTATTCATTGTAGTGCACTTTTGGTATTCTGATTTAATTATTCTCTCTTTGTTTTTCCAAAAAAAAGGGAATTAACACTTTCAACACAACATATATGTCTTTCTTTAAGTGATTTAGTATCACTAGAAAATATTATATTTTTGCTTTTATATTTCAATTTTTTTTTATTATATATATGCAAGTCTTCATATATTCAAATTTTATATTATATTTTGATTTTATTTAAAAAGACACTTGCACCTATAAGACTTGCACTTTTTATGTTTAATAATTTTTCTAACACATACAATATGTTAAAATTTATTTAGTAATTTCATTATTTTCCAATTAGCAATGATAGATAAAATTAGCTACTAATATAAAGGTATCTATTAATATATACAATATGAATAAAAATTTAAATTAGATGGGTTATTCCTAACTTATAATACTAGTTACTAGATATATATGGCCACGCTTAAAGATCATTTGAAACAAATACTACCTCCTATTTTTTATAAATGTCATTTTTGTTTTATCAATAATTAACCAAATAAATGACGTTTTGGATCTGTTGAACATATTTTTCCGTAGGCATGTGAGCATTTCCGTAGAATCATAAGAGGGTCATAGTTTATTTCAGTGATTAGTCAAGAAAAGTGCTTGCATTTAATCATCTAATGCTACAATTGTGCACGTTTAATTCCCCGCATTTATGCATCTTTCGACTTATTTGATATTATGATCAATTATCGGCTTTGATGAGTTTTTGAGTGATTTTCAGTATTTTTGGAGCTATTTCTGTTGCACGATGAGGTGTGGATACTCGGAAGAAGGACAAAGAAGTGTTATCAGCAAGTACGGGGTCGTCCAGTACTGACCCAGCTATCCCCGTACTGGCCAGCGGGGCCATACACATGGAGAAGCCCATGCATTTCACGTATATGGCAGGAGAATTAATCCAAGTGGGCTGCGAGCATTAAAAGATTGAAGTGGGCCTAAGTTGGGAAGACTATGTTGACCAAGAATTAAATAAAGGAGAGAGACGTGAGATATTTGGAAAGAGGAGGATATATACCAAATTGTTTTAACTTGGGAGGAGTTATTACTTTGACCTGGGAACACTTTCTTGCGGCTGCGGAACAGAGGCAGAGAAAAGGATCGCAAGTCAAGAGCAGCAACAAAAAGCTTTGGAGAATTAGAGAAGAATTTCTTAATTTCTTTTCTTTTTCTTTTCTTCTGTAATTAATTCTATGATTATGTTATTGAACACCATGAGTGAGTAGTTTCTTTATTCTAGTTCCGGGGAAGTCGAACCCTACGATTGACTATGTCTTGATTGATTATTTGGTTGATGATTTTAATATCTTTTTGGAATTGCTTGTGTTATTTTGAATAATTCACCATGATGTGTTAGTCTTATTTAGATTGATCACCTGGATTAGGCTTTTCATATCTACATCTAAATTAGGCCTGCAATCCGTAATTTTTGTTGTGTTTAATTCATAAGAGGTAACCGGAAGATGGTAACTACCGGGGATAACACGGCCTAATTAAGTGAACGAACGCGGTTGAGTTCACTAATTAGTCTAGCCTAATTTTCTAATTCGTAAAGCGGCTAATTGTATTAAATCTTGAAAAGGACTGTACAAGAAGTCAAGTTTAATCGTCGAGCGTCTCGCGGTTAAATAAAAAATAAGGAAAAATTTCGGTTAACAGACCGTGTCGTTACCTAGGGCTAGTAATTCCAGGAGATAGCGAAATCTGATACTAAAATTAATTAGACGAGTCAATCGAGGGTGTAGACGGAACCGTGGACTAGAAGCTTTCCCATTTATTTGATTATCATCTTTATTTGTTGCATTCGAGTTCATTCCGTCATTCATATTTCTATTAGTTAATTAATTTTCACCATAATCCCCCCTTTTATTAGTATTGCTATGATTTCAATTAAAGAAAATAATTACAATTAAATTTCACACTCCACGTGAGTTCGACCCTTGCTCACTACTACTGCTAGTTGGTAGAAGTTGGTTAAGGAAAATAAATATTATATTTTGACCGTGTTGCGACGCGCGGTCATTCAGATATTGTATTAAGTATAATATTTCAATATGAAATTATTCATATTTGTTTGGAAAAGCTTTGGAGAAGTATGGGTCACTAGTTACAAGTTACACCGTCTAACAACAATCCCATTGGTGCAAAAGAAATCGAGCCAATAAACATAATTTCTCACCCGGAATTATAGTGAAAATCATCAATAATTCAAAACTAGAGTATTCAGTGGAGAAAAATCTGAAGCAACTAATAACAATCCCATTACATAAACCTGAAACCAGAAGGTTTACCATTCCTAACACTACCTTTTTTTTCCAAACAGCAGAAAATACAAAACAGAACTTTTCATCGCCATAATCCAAAAACTCATCTGATATAAATAAAAATGATAAAATCCCATCAACCGACCATTACACGGAGATCATACTATTTTTTTTCCAGCCAAACGATCTTCGGATGCGCGGAGGCATGAAGCTAAATCCAAGCATCTCATTGACTGCTCGACCGTGCTCCGAAAAACCAATGAGCTTAGCAACAATAGCGGCACTTTTATTTACGTTATCCATATTCTCCGTGTTGGTCCATAAAAGGTTGACCAGTTGCAACCTTCTTTGCTTCGAGGTCAAGCTGATGCCCCACTCGTAGTAAATTTTGTCTCTTTCATCTTCTGTGTATCTTTTGTTGATTAGCCTACTCAGTGTTTCTCTCTCCTTACGAAGGGCTTTCTTGCTGTTTGTTCAAGAAAACAAGTTCAAACTTAGTCCAAGTGAACACTTATTAGGACAAAGCAATTTTGTCAAAATTGAAAGGGGTTCAAACTAGGCATGTAAACGAGCCGAGCTGAGCTCGGTTCGTTAACTAAGCGAGCCTGAAACCGAGCTCGAGCTCAACCTCGTCGTTTATCAATAATAACGAGCCGACCTCGAGCTTTAACGAGCCGAACTATACAAAATTATATAAAAAATTTCTTTTCGAGCCGAGCCGAACTCGAGCCTTAATGAGCCAAGCCAGACTTGTTTAATTTAACAGCACTAGTTCAAACTTTAACTAATCAAAGAAAAACCTTGTAACCTTTCAATTACGAATGTCCCCTCGACATAGTTTCTATCTCACATATTGCACAAAATGTTTCTACTTTCTAATTTCTATATTACAACTTCTAAGGGTATTTGTCATGGTAGAAGTAAGTTGGTTTTCTTTGTAACTAAACTAAACTTCACTGTTTTCAGCATTTAATTTGACAATGATATTTTGCAGCATTACCAAAAATTTGTTCATGTTGGGGCAGTGTATTCATACACAAGAAAGTGAGAAACAAAGAAAACCGAGTTTTAATGTCGTATGACGATACCTTGACGCCAGAGTAAGAGTACGGCCAGCTTGTACAACTGAACTACCCCTTGAAAATGTTTCCTTGAGAAAGGATAATCTCCTATGTTCAACCTCCATGTAAATGGAATCTGCCGAGTCATCCTTAATAAGGAGGATGAAATATGTTCTGTGTACCAGTGACACATTGCAAGCTTGCCAAAGCTCAATTATCGATTTCTGCAACTTCTCAAACTTCAGCGGTGAATCCAAAGCAAGTTCTCTAGCACTGTTTTCACTTGTATTCTCTGTCGGAACCTAATAGCGTACAAAATGAGTCATTAGAAGGCTCTCCATCAAACAATTTACAAACTAAAATACCGCTACGTGAAAGAGATTAAAGGTTTGAAAACAAAAACTATCCTTGTAAAAATGGTAAACAAAAAGAGAGAAATTAAAAGAAAAATATAGGTTATTTCTCTGTTACACAAATCTCCTAATATTTAATTGTGAAGGAAAGGCGGATCTAAAGCGGGTTTTTTATAACTTGGGGTGGTTATTTGTAACCATTGAAAATCATGCTTCTTCCTTTTTCTTTTTTCTCGTCTCTTTTTCTTCTACAAGGCCAATCCCCAAGAATAGTCTCTGTAACTATCCATTAGCAATTCTTCTCTTTGGCACGGGAGAGAGGGGGAAAAAAAAAGAAAGAAAGACAACGCACCTGATGACCATTTTGATTTTCATATTGAAGCTTAGCCATCTCCCTGAGCCCTGCGACAAAAGAACCAAGAGTGGGAATATCCTCATCACCATTGATAGTGCTTTCATTCTTTATTTCATCAACAAAACTACTATAATCGGAGGACTCCGAATCGTTTACGGACAGCTTCCCACTATTTGCTCCGTACATCACTGGAGGAATCTTCCATTGCTTTCTCTGAAAAACGCCTTCCAATCTTCCAGTAAAATCTGCCTCCAATACAGTTGGAGGCGTGCTTTCATTTTCTCCAGCCGTCTCAAAGTCAGACGAAACAGAAATCAAACCAGCTCTGCAGCTTCTGCTTCTAGCCAACTTTAAGCTCCCAGAATACGTCCCACTAGTTGATGATGCACTAGGAGAAAATGAATCAGGCTGAGGTCTTAAAAGAGAATCTATACTCTTCTGCACACCTCGCATGTTCTGCTCCAAAGCACTGTAAGAGTAATTATTATCAGTGCCACTAATGTGTCCAGGTGAAGCCATGATCTGGCCACTTGGAGACTCGGAATATGTTGGCATGTTAGTTTCACTCTCGCTAACCGACTCGCGTAATGACTCAAATGTTCTGTTGTGATCAGATTCATCAGTCTCGATACACACAACATCCTTGCATATTTCATCAGAATCTTCTGCAAGTGGTCCTTCAACTTCTTGGCTTGGATCTGATATATCTTCTGATGAGTAAGAATCTTCACTGTTTTCTGAATGCGTAAGGTCTGATTTTCCGTTGCGCCTGAAGCCTCCATTGACAGACCGAGATTCGTCCAATTTTTGGGAAGTTTTTTCACTTTCAATAGCTCTAAGTAAATCATCAATTCGAGAATGAGCCAAATCTCGTTGCTTTTTCAGTTCCTTAATCTCTTTCTCCAACTGCATTTTAACATAACAAGAACTCATCAACATGCAGTGTTTTCTTGTTCTCATTTTAACCAAAAATTGGATCATACATGATGCAGTAGAGTTAGGAGTTTGATACACAAAATATTAGCAATATAATTTGATGAATATTTCGTTCCATAACCAAGATCATTAATGTCACGCAATTTGTATGGATCTCCCTTTTTGACAAATTTTTAGAAGAGTGTGTAGGAGATGGAAATATTCAGATCTGTACTAAAAATCACAGGTTTATGGATATGTTAATTCTAAAAATTCAACATCCCTGATAGCTGGGAAGTATGAGGCAAATGAAAATTATCCGATTATCCAATTTTTGAACAAAAACTAAAAAATGGAGTTAAAAGAATTGAATTAGATAAATAAAGCAAGCCATTTCTAAATAAAAATAAAGAAACAGCACCTTTTCTATTTGCATATCTTTCTTTCTTAACAAAGGTCCATGGTCGCAGATTGATCCTGGAGTTTTTAACTCACTTTCCAACCGTGCAAGCTCTTTCTGTAGATGTTTCACTAATGCCTTATCAGACATCACCACATTGACCTTTGCATTTGTCGATACCTCCTTTGCACAGCTAGCAAATAAAAGTGTATTTCTCGATTGCTCGACATGGCTTCTGGCAGGGCTCAAGGTGCAGATGATTGCTGTTCTCGCATTGCCTCCCAAGGCAGGCTGCAGTATACGTGTAAGCTTTGAGTCTCTGTAATTGACATGCCCCTGTCTTCCTTTGCTGCATAAATAGATCAACATTGATAAATCTGAAACATTTGAAGTACATATGACATACAGTAAGAAAAGGGGGATATCAAGGGAAAAAGAATCCACAAACCTGAGTTTGCGAATGACAGTGCCCAGAGTTAATAAACTACGGTTTATATGGCAGCCTTCTTTGAGCCTCTGCCCCACGGATAATGCTTGAGATGCTCGTTCACTTCCTGCTAGATCAACAAAGTTCTGCACGAAGACATGAACTAATTAATATCTAACGAAATAATATATGTTTACTTACATCGTATAATAAGTAGCATGTTTGCAGGGAAATTATCAATAATTTAATTTTGCTCTACCACACTAGCGGAAAGGGTGGTCGAGTTTCCCTTTCCAATAAATTCTCGAGCAGAACTTTCAATTGTCTGGAGAAATCAGATAAGAAAAGAGCCAACTGTGAGTACTAAACTTATTCAAGCAATGTGTGTGTGTGTGCGTGTGTGTGAGAGAGAGAGGGAGGGAGAGACTGGAATGAGCTTGAGAAGAGAGCTAACCAGCCTTAGAATTTGATGGGATCTAGAGCTGGTTTCATTCAGTGAGGTCTCCCCTATTTGCCTTTGCGCTATGTAGAAGTTAAAAGAATCGCATACATACATGGCCTTATTATGTTAGCTAACTATATTATCAACCTAGAAACCAAATGATGAAAATGAAATTTGACCAACCTTCGCAGATAGATAACAACTCCCTGAGGTGATTCCAGTCCCTCAAAGTTTCTTCTGTGAGTTTCTCAATAATAGTTCCTTTCTACAGAATTACAAATTTCAATAAAGCTACAAGGATGTGGGTGAAAGAGCAAATTAGTAAAGCAAAACTTACTTCTGGATCATCAAGTAGCCGTAGTTGAGTACTACTATCTGTACTAAGGAGGTCTCTAATAACTTCATTATAAATCTCAATTGCAGAAAACTTCAAAACAAAAGCTCTTTCTTCATGCTGAGAAAAAGGGAGAGAAAGAGTGATGTCATAAAGAAGGAAATCTTTCCTATTCCCGGAAAAGTAATGTCATTCACTATTTTCCAGGTTCCGCAATAGAGTTAGAAGTCATGTACCCTTTGCATGTAAGCATAAATATCTGCCACCGCATACTCGGTGATACCATTCATAGTGTATGTTTTTCCGCTGCTTGTCTGACCATATGCAAAAATAGTAGCTGGTATAGAAATCGAAAATGTTATCAGAATCAGTTGAAATAGATCACTACTGACATAGTAAGTGAAAATGAAACCACAAAAAAGGAATGTATAATCAGGAGTCGAGCATAATGATTAATTTAAACTTACAGTTTATGCCCCCGACAACAGAAAGAGCAATGTCCTTTATTCCTTCATCATAAACTTCCCTTGTTTTGCAGTCACCCCTAAATACTCTGTCTATGCACATAAACATGAGCAGATACATTAAGCAAGGGGGATTACATTGCATCAGATTCACTATCAACTCAACCACTTTTAGATAAATTAAGCAAGGGGGATTACATGCATCAGATTGACTATCAAATCAACCACTTTTAGATACATTAACCAAGGGGGGAAATATATCAGATTCACTATCAAATCAACCACTTTTAGATACTTACAAAAATTGCCCTGATATTTAGCTTATTTATGCGAATAAATAAGTAAATTAATATATATAATGTTAAAAAAATAGCCCCTAAACATCACAGTATTTTTACATAAATATTATTTTTTGTAAAATCTGTTTCTGAGAAATGTATTCTGGGACAGAATCCAGAGTCAAGCAACTAAATGACACTTATCCCAAACTAGAAAAGCCTAGACAACATGCTTTCAATTCATGGTGTATACTTGCGACAATGCATAGATTCATAGCTTCTATCCTAAACTAGAAAAAATGACCAACCCTAGAGATAAAAGGTCACATGGAGACACTCTTTGCAGAGATAAAGTAAAAACACAACTACATTTCTCCTGAGAAACAAAGGAAAAACTAGACGGCACACGATCAATACACTTTAAATACAAAACCACAATGACGGATGTACAAACATTGATAGCTCTCTTCCTACACTTAAAAACAATAAAACCTACGAAAAATGAAAAGACATAGCACTCTTACCAAATGTATAAGCGGTGGGAAGACCAGACCGCTCTTGGAGGCTGTTCCGGTACAAAATGGTGGCTGAATTAATGCACTCCCAATCTGAAACCTCGTTCTTTGCAATCTCCTTTTCATTCAAAGGCCTTAACCTTACCAAAACCAAAATTTTCTCTTCTCCTTCACCAATTATACCTGGCAGCTTCTCACTGTTCGCCATTTCTTCAGCACCAATTGACCCCATTTGTTACCTCCTTTCCTTTCACTTAGATCCACTCTGTTACATTGGATATGTAAAACCTACAACCAAAAATCCATACATAAGAATGGCCTACAGAGAATTAGTAAATGTTCTGCTAATGAAAGTAGCGAAAGAGAGAGTGTATTGAGGAACAGGTTAGTTTGCGCCTCCTGTAGAAACAGAATATGGTAGCAGACCAACATGTTGTGCAAGAAAGAGAACTAATTATGGAAAGGTTTAAGCAACTAACACGGTTTTGATGATGCTAAAAGGGAACTGTCCAGCAGTTGGTAGTGAAATAATCACTTTGCTTAACCTTTGGCTTTATATCTTTTCGCCCAACAGAAACTTAGAATTCCATTCTTTTTGCAGAGTGAGGTACAATACTCAAGATTAGATAGCTTTGCTTAATGGGGACCCCAACTATGCTTCAAGTCCAAGTAATGATGCTTTTCAATTGAATCCTTAAGTATTTCTAGATAATCTTTTTTTATAAGAAGTCAGTGAAAACATGAGTAGTGGACCCCCAGTACTCAGGCACAGACATGCATACATACAAGCATACACCAAATAACAAAAAAAGTAGGAGGAAAAATAACATAAATTATTCACAATTTGTATCACATGCATAATTTATGAGCAAACTAACCAGTTAGAGATGCTTCCAATTGAACCGAGATGTAGATTAGGGTTTGCACTTAAATTCCAGTGACGCTTCTTGTCCTGCAAGGCTACAATCAGATCGGAATCGTTAGAAATCCATACAGCTAATATACATAATTTCTACAGCTCAAAATCAAAATTTACAAGATCCTCAATCAAATGCACGATCTGGTGACCGACATCATTACAAAATCGAACCAACAGTAACCAGCCAAAACAAAATTCCAACAACTACGCGTCAAATATAGCAACATATGCCTCTGCAAAGCTAGTTTTCACAGCACTCGCAGAAATTCATCTCGTATGGATCATCGAACCAGCTGAACACATATTTTCGTCCGGTAACCTCAAGCTAAAAGGTACCAATTACTCGATGAGCATGAGCTTCTGCAACGTAATACAAAAGCAAAAGAGAAGGGTACCAAAATGACAAAATGTAACGGCAAAAATCTGCGAAAAATCTTAAAACCGCACCAAGTCAAAAAAAGCCAGCTGAGGTGAAGAATCGTAAGCAAAATACCCTCGAACTTCATGAACCAGCAGCTCCAAACTTCTCCTCCCTTCCCTCTCTCTCTCTTCTCTCCCTCTCCCTCTTCCTCTCCCTCTCTCTCTCACACACAAAGTGGCACCGGTAGAGGTAGGAAAACGGTGAACATCAAGGTGAACGTTATAATTGTCGCTCATCGAGGAAGCGTGAAATGACGATTCTACCCTTGCTTTGTTTTGAAAAGCCTGTGAGGCAGGCACGTGCCCACGTGACCGTCGTCGGTGTGTGTTAAATGGGATTCTAATTCTATGAGGCAAAAATTAATGGCGTGCGATACGGATAATTTGTGCGGTATCTAACCCGGTCACGATTAGACCTACTCCAATCGATATCCAAAACACAAAAAATGGGGTAAAATTTCTTCAATCGAACTGCAAAATGAAACGCAAAATAGGTTTGTGACTTTCTATAATAGATTTTATATGGAGTATGTTACGTATAGATAATAAAATAACATTATTAATTTATAATAGATGAATCATACCGAGTTTTTTAATAAATTTATTAGCATTATGGTAATTTTTTTTAAGATTAAAACAAGAAAATAGTATTTTTTTTTTCTTCTCTTATTTTAACATGTATTTTATTATTTGTTGTGTATGAATTGTTAAGTTATAATTATTTTATTGTTTTTCTATAAAAGGTATGAAATAATAAATTTATTTGACTATTAATTAGTAGCCTGTAATTAATTTATTATACTTAATAATGAGTCTAATTTATAAATTTGTAAAATATGTGGGTAGTATTGAAAAATTGTAAAAATAGATGTGAAAGAGAATATTCATAGAATATTCTTTTGGGTTTGAAATGGGTTTTTCGGTTGGAGACGAATTACTGCAAAATGTGATAGTTACTGCAAAATAGGTTTGAGTATAGGATTTTCGGTTGGAGATAGCCTTAGCCTAAGCTAACCAATTATTATTCCTTTGCACAAATTGTTGTATAATGAAACTTTAGTAAGAAAATAAATATTTATGTTATAAAGTGTCTTATTTTTATTATGATATTTTAGTTTGATATATACATATTTAATAAAGAAATATGATTGTCCAACCGTTAAACTAGTCTAACAATAGTTTTACTGATATTTTTGGTACATTAGCTCGATTTGCCGAATAAAGCGAAAACTAATTCAGTTAACTGTTAGCGAGCATATGATTTAATTAGTAGTCTTAATTAGCTAATCGATTTAGCTTATATATGTAGAATTGTGTGGTAAATAATATTAATTATTTGATATATAAAAAATGACTAAAATTGCAATCTTTAATTCCAACCTCTAATTTACATTCAAACTTATAATTTGGCCCAACAATGCTAATTATTAAATAGGTATATTTTTTTAATGAGAGAATATTGCAAAGTTTGCTTTTGAAATTTGTTTAAGACATATTATCGGCAATGACTAATGATATTTTAGAGTAGATTTGGCCGACCCTTAGAGGTCTACTTCTGCTTCTGGTCTCTTTTTATAAGTCAACTAAACTAGTTTGATAGATGCGAAAAGGATGAATTAGTAGAAATTCGTTTTAATAAATTGCGCTCCAATGTTAAACTAATTCAAAATTTAGTTTTATATTTTGGTGGACCATGTCTATTTTAGGACAATTATTTCTACGTCACATTTTTTTGAAAAAGAATGTTAGTATGTTTTAGCAGTAAAGGCACATTTTTTTTTTTTTTCTTCAAAAAAATATAATTACCGTGCTTAACCAATTTAAACCGCCTAATAAATTTGAACATGCCCCCAAAGATAAAATGAAGCTACTTTATCGCTTTAATAATAAATACTTGATGTATTTGAAGGTTTGAACAAAAAAGTGTGCAAGGCACTTTAACCGAGTGGAATGGTCCCTTTTTTTGTCCTAATAATGTATGACAAACTAATCTTTTGACATTGAAATTACTCATGGTAATAATATATTAGAGACTGTAGAAGAATGATTTTACCACCAAAGGTGACATAGTGAAATCATTAATAAGTTGCATTCACTTTTGAAAAGATTAATGTTTGCCCATGACTACATTGTCAACTATGGGGTGATTATATTTAATAACCCTAGTGTTCAAATTAACCCAAAATGAGAAATGTATGAAAAAAAAAACAAAAAAAATCGAGGAGATAACTATTTATGATAATTGTCATGTCCGGTTGACATTAGAAATATAAACAAGTCGAGTCGAGTTGAGCTCTTGATAGTCGAGATTAAACTTGAGCCTGCAAATGAATCGAAGCGAATCGAGCATGGACCTTGTCGAGTGCATTGAACTCTTTTCTTCACTGCTCAAGCTCGACTAGTCATGTAAAATGCTGCTCGACTCGACTTATAAAAAAAGTAAGAATGTTCGAGCTTCACTCGATGCTCGAGATCGACTCGATGTTCGACATGGCTCGAGTTCGGCTCGAAATTTTAACAATTAATTGACAATTTTGGTTTTGGTATCTAATATTAATATTTAAACTATAAAGGGTATTTATGTAAGTAAAAAATCAAGCGTCAAGCTTACAAGCCTCTTGAAATGAAGCTCAAGGCTCGACTCTTTTGCTCTATTGATTTTCTTGAGCTTGAGTCGAGCATTAACTCGAGCGCTCGCGAGCGGCTCGCTCATTTTGTAGCTCTACTTGAGACTTTTATCGAGCCGAGCTAGTGAATGCAAATTTTTATTAATATTAACAAGTCGAACTCGAGTATTAACAGATATAAAAAATTATAAAAAATCATATTTTGGAGTCTTAATTAATCAAATCTAACTCATTAGCTAAATCGGCGAGCTCACAAACGACTGATTTGTTTATCAACCTTTAGTTGAATGCAACTTGACGATCATCCCGAGACCTAAATTAAACGAAAACCATATCTACATGTGAAACTACACTTTTATAATGTAGAAACTTGTCATTTAGACTCTACATTTGAAAATATATTTATTAGGATGAAGACAAAACCCAAACAAATATGCTCATATGTCAAGATAGCTCATAATTTTTCAAAAGAATATTATTTTAGATTAGAAAAAAAAAAAATGATAAAAAAATCTCACTAAATAAAATAAGTATTCAAAATGACAAGTTTTTATCTCAAAAAAGTTGACTTCCTCTCTCAGACAGAGAAGTGGTTAAGCAATAGATGGTTGATAATTGCTGACAAACCAATCTTTTTCCTGTACCTACCTCCAATTGTGGGAGGTTGTTTGCCTAATAAATAATAATTAATCCAGATTAGTGGGGAGAGTGTAATTCGGTTGTGATTAATTTTAATTAACTAAGTCGTATTAACTATTTTGTTTCTATACTATACATGGACCTAATTATTCTCTATACTATTGTATCACGCGTTGCTTAATTGCGTGTATATGCCATGAACTATATAATAGCTAGTAATACAGATTAGCATGCTAAAAGTTTTAGTTTTTTTCAGTGTTTTTCAACCCGGACCGGACCGGCGGGTCAACCCGGGACCCGGTCGACCCGGAGCCGGTACCGGTCCGGTTGGGCTATTCGGACCGGGCAACAAGAGACCCGGTCAAACCCTGTCAAAACCCGGCAACCCGGTCTTGGCCTGGTCGACCCAGAACATTGACCCAGTTGGATCAACCTGTTTGACCCGGGCTAAGAGGCCGAGAAAGGGATGCTTTATTTTAGAGTTTCGGCCGGCTTTTATAGTCTTGTGTTGTAACAGTCTTATGACATATTTCGATGTGGAATTTTACATTCTTTTCACGAGACAACGCAGCTTGAGAAGTTCTTAACAACAATACACAATTGTAAAGAATCTGTCAATTATTACTCTCTTTGTTCTTTACTTTATTTTCTGAATTTTAAACAATAAATAGAAATTATTTTTTATTAATTTTTTTATTTTTTAATATATTTTTTGTTTTGGAAAAATAAAACTATGTATATATATATTTATATGTTAAATATTTATCATTAAATACATATTATTAATACTTTAATGTACAAATTTTATATACAAAATATTTAATTTTGTTACTTTTATGTATATTTATATGACAAAATACTCTATATATAATTTTTAAAAATAAATAAATTAATTATCCGGTTCAACAATCGACTCGGTGACCCGGAGACCTGCCCAGGTCAATTCCCGGGCCGGTTTAAAAACTATGGTTTTTTCCCTTTAAAAAGCAAGATAAATTTGAAATGAATAGAGAGTCAAAAAGGGCAGATGAAAAAAGTTTGGTTTCTATTTGGGTCTCCCATGGGCCATGATAATGAGTTGGACCAGTTTAATAGACCTGTATCTTTATGCAAGCTCAAACAGTAGCTTAAATATCAGCCATTGCGTTCGGCTGTTGGTAGTTGATACAAAATGCAAAACATGGGTTTATAAAAGCCAGAGACGAACATTGGTAAATCCGTTGTAGTCTAGGGCCTCGTTTACTTTGCAGGATGGGATAAGACAAATTAATCAAGCCCACTTGCCATGTCAGCTTTTAGTCCCTCGTTTACTTTTCGGGATGGAATTTGCTTAAATTAGTCCCTTGTTTACTTCGATGTATTAACTGAGATGATATAGAATCCAAAGACTAGATTGCCCTTCTCTGAATAAATCGATTTATGCCATTTCCATGCCCAATTCATTTTGCCCTATCTCTGCGCGACCGACGAGAAGGCAACCCTCACTCCCGCCGAAGAGCCGCCACTCCTTCAATTCGACTGCCGACGACGTCCCCCCGATAGCTACGACCGTCGACGACAACCTTCAATTAGGCAGTGCAGTGAGAGGTACGCCCATTTTCCGGCAATGAATGACCTAGTCGCTTTCGATAGCTAGTCCTTCAATTCGGCAGTCGCTTTCGATTTTCGCCTGTCACTTTCGATTTTTGCCTATGCTTCGTGAAATTGAAAAATCTTTGTGAAATTGAAAAATCTTTCGATAGCTAGTATCCTTTCACTTTCGATTTTTGCCTATTCTTCGATATTTGCCTATTTTTGAACCCGAAGCCACCAGTTTCAGAATAATGTCGCGGTCGTTTCTGCAGAAATTAGGAAAAAACGCTCGATTTCAAATATGCTACCACGAACCTCCGACGAACGAAAATAAGTTTAAAAAAATGGAAATGGAATAGGTTAAAATGGTGTCATTGAAGCTCACCTTCTTCACGGGCGAAAAATCTGAAGCTTCCTCTCACAAGAATGGCGTCGTGGTTTCTGAGATGGGCTAGGGCAAAATCAAATGTAATTGAATTGAAGCTGTAATTTGATGCAAATTAAGGGGTATTTTGGTCTTTTCACAGCAGTTTTTGAGGGTAGAAAAGGTATGAGAAAAACGAGATTAATTTATCAGAGGGGAGAAGCGGGATTTTTTAATCCAAAAATTTGGGATGGAAGGCTGCCACATTGGCGCCATGTCATTAAAATCCCATCCAAATCCGCAGAAGTAAATGAGGGAAACAGCGGGACTAAATGCCTTATCCTATCCTATATTGCAAAGTAAACGCCCCCTAGGTGGTTGGATACTCGGCTCTCATCTGAGAGACCCGGGTTCAAGTCCCTGCACCGGAAAGTTTTTGCCCAATTTTTTCTTTTCAATTGTCTTTGTTCCTTTTTTCTCTTTGTTCTTTTTCTTTCTTGTCCCGATGATTACTTGTTTCCTTTTTTTTTGCTGTCATAAACGAAAAAGTGCAAGCAAGTACTTATTTTTACCTGTTTATTATAATGTCAATAAGAATATATACTTATGCTTGTATAAAAAAACCAACAAATTTAATGTATTATTTTCATACTTCAAACACTAGAGGACAATTATATACTTTTGCTAGTATAAAAAAACCAACAAATTTAATATGTTCTTTTCATACTTCAAACAATAGAGGACAATTTATAAGCTTATTGATCCACACGACATCCAACAAATTCAACATATTTTTTTCATACTTCAAAGTTCAAACAATATAAGACAATTTATAAGCTTATTGATCCACACAACACAATTCATTCAAACATCTAGCATAAACCAAACCTTGCAAATCATAACAAACCCCAAATTTAAATTCCCATACATCTACAAACATATCAAAATAGAGGAACACTAAGGCGTTCTTTGGGAATCGCAACAAGTTGGACCGCTCTAGGAGCCGTGAGCCCAAACAAATCATTCATGTCGAGTTCATCGGGCTTCAACCCATCCGGAAGCTCCCAATCGAAGCTATGACAAAGATGGGCCACCGCCAGCTCGAGAGCGTAAAGCCCAAGTTGCATCCCAGGGCACGACCTTCGGCCCGACCCAAATGGTATGAACTCAAAGTTACTCCCCTTGAAATCAGGCGCATCATTGTTCAAGAATCTGGATGGGTCGAACTTATTGGGCTCGGCCCACGCGCTCTCGTCACGCCCGATGGCCCACGCGTTGATCATCACGCGGGCTTTTGCAGGGATTTTGTAGCCGTTGATGATTGTGTCGGTTGAGGTCTCGTGGAGGAGGAGAGGAATCGGAGGGTGAAGGCGAAGAGTCTCTTTGATTACGCATTTTAGGTACGTGAGCTTTTCGAGGTCCAATTCGTCGACTTGACGGGCCAAGCCTACTACATTTACGAGCTCTTGTTGGACCTTCTTTAGGTCTTCCCAACTATGCATTAGTTCGGACATGGCCCACTCTATAGCTGAGGCCACGGTTTCCGTTCCACCAAACATGACATCCTAAATAATAGAGGAAAAAAAGATAAAATGAAAAATAAAAATTGAGTAATGTTATAGAGCCAACTTGAATGACAACTTGGGTTACAACTCAAGTGTAATATATTATTTTTTAATTTTTTGATAGTATATTTACGCTTGAGTTGTAACTCAAATTGTCATCCAAGTAGGCTATATAGCATTACTCATAAAAATTAACAAATAGCATTACAATTTGTAATAATTTGTTTTATTGTATAAAAAACATAGGACCAAAATGTAAATACTTGTGACCATAATAGCTAATAAGAAACAATTTAGGAAAAAGATTCCAATTTCAATTTGTGCGTTATTAACAGGTGTGTTCATGATGATACTATTATTGTACAATGACATCTATTCAATAAAATGGTAAATGAATTGAGCATGAATTTAAAATATGAAATCTTTTACCTAATTAAGCAGTAATGGCCGAAGCATGACTACCACAAGCTAGCAAATTAGCATTCTAACATTATAGAAATACAAATTTAGACAAAAAAAAAAAATATATATATATATATTGTTAAGGAAAAAAATTAATATAATTATGATGATTCCTAATTAGTTAAAAGCAAATTTGGATGGCCTTATTCCCATGATATCCAACCTTCAAAAAACTGTCCTATTCCTTAAAAGCAAATGGATATAAATTTCTTATAAAGACTCTTGTTTTCCTTAAAAAAACATTTTAAATTTCAAACATATATTTAAAAAAAAAGTAATAATTTTTAAATTAATAAAATATTTTTTTACCATTATAAGAGCCTTGATGTTGTCCCTAGTTATGTTGACCGACGACTTCTGGTCAACACTTTTTGCGCCGTTTTCATTATAAAACTTCATCAACTCGTCAACCATGTCATCTTCAATATCCACAAAATCACAATCGTCGTGATTTTTCTTTTTATCCTTCTTACCAACGTGGTCGTCAATAATTTTGTCGATAAACCCGTCTAACGACCTGCGGGCCCCGGCAAGCCTCCTTCGAAAATCGCCACCGTGGACCCACCCTAGCCATGGGATAAAGTCCCCAATGTTGAAAGCCCCAAAGAGCTTCGAAAATTCCTGCATGATCTTCACAAACTCCCCCTGGCCCTCTTGTGACATGGACCCAAAAGCAGCCCGATAAGTGATGTTCTTGGTAAGCTCAAGAACAGCCTCCCCAATATTGACCGGTGACCCAATCCTTAAATGGACCTTATTAACCAGCGAATTTATTTCTTCGCGGACCGAAGCCCAAGATCCGGCCCGTTTACGGCTGAACACCTTTGTGACGCATATCTTGCGCATCTGGCGCCAGAAGGGCCCGTAATGGGCGAAGGCCATGTCGGCCCGGTTGTAGGTCAGGTAGCTTATGGCGATGGTCGCGGGCCGGTTAGAGAATATGTTGTCCTGGGCCTGTAGGACCTGTTGGGCCATTTGGGCTGTTGAGATGGCCACCATGTGGACGTGGCCCACTTTTAGGTAAAACAGGCCGCCGTACTTCTGGGCTTGGACTGCTAGGCCGCGGTGGTTCAGCTGGCCCACCATGCCCAAGTTGCCGAAGAGTGGTAATCCTTTAGGCCCGGGAGGATAACGCTGCCTTTTGGATTTAGCTAGTTTGGTTACTACGACGGTGACCAGTAGGATAAGGAAGAGTAAGGGTAAGGGCGTGTTTGGGGGTATTTGGAGATATTGTTGGATATTGATGTCCATTGTTGGATTAGCTAATACTGTTCTGGGGAGCAGAATTTGCAGTGTGGTGGTTTGGTTGAGAAGAATTTTGAAGTATTTGTATAGTGAAGCCAATTAATCCATATGAGGCATCAGATTTGGGATTCCAAAATGAAGGGATTATTGCTGTAATAGTGTAATGGAATTAAATACTATATTAAATACTATGAATCAGGTTGTATATAGGCTGTTAGGTAGCAGATAATCTGATGTGGGGGATTATATACCATTGGTGGCCGGTAAGGGGCTAGTATTTTAAAAAATGTGAGAGATGTTTTTGTTTATATTATTTCTCACAAAATTAGTGTTGAATACATTGGAATCTATGAACTGAAGTGTTCAAAACTTACAATATAAACTAAAACTGAAAACAAATTACAACTTAAGAGCGGAAAGATTAAAGTTGAAGCGAGTAACTCTTTCCGCAAAACAAATACACTCTATATAGTGCTAACGAGACTGTGCGTCTTGTCTCCAAAGATACAACGACTATTGACTCGAAAGTTGTAGTACACCAAACTTCAGAGCTCCGGCAAAAACGAAAAGAGTCGAGAACTGAGTAATGTATATGACATGATGCGTGAGAGCTTCAGTAGATAGTGAGATGTAGATGTATGTCTTGTGTCTCTTCTACAACTTATACATTGTGTCTTTTTTGCAGCTTCTACAATATCCTATTTATAGGACTTTAAATACAATTGGGAGATGACCGCTTTAACCGTCCAACCAGCAACAACTCACTGATGGTTGTTGTAAATGAAAAGTTTTTAAGATGTTACGGATGGGTCCAAGGCCCAAGCCCAAGAGTGGCCCAGGCCGCCCAAGTCCAAATGCCACGAACCAGGCTAAGCCGGGCGGTGAGTGCGCGCGCATGCGTGGCTGAAGCCATCACTAATATAGGGTGCATAGTTTTGTTATTGTTGTGACCTCTACAATTTTCTTTATTATAATGAAGAAAGTTAATCTCATGTAAGAGTTCAATGGTGGATAGGACTCTTACCATTCAAATGATTTATAAATAAAGAAAATTTTATTTGTCGAATTCAGATGATGTGCAAATATTTTTGTGATTTGGAATAGGTCACTCAGATATGGGTTCTTATCAGCTTTTCATTTGTGATATATCAAAATAATCATCTCCCGACGAGCTTTAGTTTGATATAGATTTTTCATATATAAATTAAATAATTGTATATCTTTTATAATAGATATTAAATTTTTATTAATATTAATTAAAAATGATAAATTTATTTATACATTAAGTAAATTTATCTATAAAGTCATTATATATGATATGGCTTAAAAAAATATTATAACATGAGATTGGTATGTCGTGCAAATGATGAATATTATGGTAAATATAAGTAATTATAAAATTTGTTTGAATTTTAAACAAAAGATTCCCAACCCTCTATCTTTTTT